AGAAGCAATACTGAGAAACGTAGGCAAAGTTATTTTTGAGATACAAGAAGCCATTTAAGATATAAATTACTCCTCAAGTTTTCAGCACATGAATGAAAAAAAATAGAAAGGCATCAAATTCCTTGAATAAAAGATAAACTTGCATGAACATTCAAAACAAAAATATTTGATAGAATAGTTTGAGTTGGAAAAGACTTTAAAGATCATCTAGTTCCACCGCCCTGCCATGGGTAGGGATGCATCCCACTAGAACAGGTTACAGCATTTGTAATAAGTTTATCCTTAAAAAACACCCATGCCTCTAACCAGCATTTTCTTCCTGGCTCACTGTCAGAATATCATCACTTCTGGCATAAAAAAAAAAAGCACCTGTGAAGACTACAATTTTTGTCTGGGGAATAAATTTAAGGAAGCAGAAGGGGTCAGGAAGAAGAGCACACTACGAACAGGAGTATGGTGCTCAAATCACCTCATTTTACAGCACATAGGGGACAAAGGCCGGCAGTAATCACACTGCACTAGTTCATACGGAAGAATCCTGAACACCTCTCTACCCCAAAATAGGACGAGAGGACAAAAGGTACAAAAAGAAACAAGAAAACAAAGTCAGTGGTAGTAGTGTGAAGCTACCAATAAAAAAAAATTTAAAAAATCAAAGACATGACACAGTTCCAACTACCTAAAAAGGCTTTTCTAAACTGCTGGAAATTATTTTTAGATTCAGGTTTACGCACAAATACACACACTAAATAACTGTCATATCACCTGTAACAAAAAAAAAAAACCACCCTTAATGTTTAGAAGTGGTATGGTTTAAAAAAAAAAGCACACACCAAAAAAAGCCTTCTTGTAGAGGAAATTGCATTCGAAACTAAGCTTCTCTGAATATCCAGCATCTGAAGCTTACATCCCTGAAAACATTCAGTCCTTCAAACGGAAGCATTTGACATAAATCATAAAACTATGTATTACACCAGTTTCAACATCTGCCTGGACTTGCATGAAGCAATTAGTTATAATAGCACTTTTTTTATTTAAAGTTATTCAACCAGGACTGATTTTTTTTTTTTTATGACGTATTTAATATAATTAAGTCATTTCCAAACATTCTACGTTTGTTCTTAAGCTTTCTAACTAATAAGTCTTTGGTCATCAAATTGTTTTCTTCCACAGTTTTCCCCACACTACAAATACAAGCAGAGTGTATTTATTTTCCCAAGGAAACCTCATACCCAAGTGTATGTGTATGTTTTCCCAAACTCAAAATCCCACATTATGTAAATGGAAACAATAACATCAAAACGTAGGTCTGAATTTTAAAAATACAAACTAATATTGCAGAATAGAGGACTCACAGTAGAAAAACAGGAAAGTAAGAATATCCTAAAAAGTAAACACAGGGAACACAAAGAGACTAAACCATTGCATTTACATGATTTATGTTTGAAATAAACAGTTCAAAATAATACTAGTGGAAAATTGAACACTTTATAATTATCTTGTATAAACGGACATAATAACAGGACACTAGGGAAAAGCAGTCCCCTAAAAGCTTAAATATCTTCCATGGATGTGCAAGATCTCAGCAGACTATAAATGAATCTAAAGGATCAAGAAAGGCAAACTAATTAAGTGTATAAAAATAACAGATAATATCAGACCAGAGAGAACATTGCCTGGCCTTTACAACTCTTTCATACAAATGCTGATCAAATACAGAACACAGACACTCTTCTATATTTTGTAACCCACTAAAGCTGCTTTTCAAAAAGATGCTCCTTTTAGTCAGAACCCAGTATGACTCTGGCTTTAGTGAAGTCAAGGCACTCATTGACTCAGACCAAACCGATGACTGTGCCGTGTCTCTTACACTGAGCCACCACTTCTCAATCTCCATGTTTACTTCACTGAATTCAAAGTTCGTACAAGCCTCAAAGAGTCTGAAAGGGTGTTTTTCGATAACTGCTCCAAACAACAGACCCTCAGCACAGCAGATTCATGCTTGAAGAGCCACACCGAAGCTAGACTAGTGGAGTTAATCTCCTATTAATAAAAGATCATCCTCATGAAGCAACAAAATACAAGGCAGATTATTTTCCTGCAAACAGGCACCCTCTTGAAAAAAACAGATACCATACAGACACTCCAAATGAGGTCAAGAGTGAATGCGCCCGAGTTAAACTAAGCATTAAATCAATCACCTTAAAAGCAGATGAAGGATTTATTTAAAGAAAATAATCTTCCACCCTTGCTCAATCTGTAAACGTGGGTCAGAAACATTTGTCTTTTCAACAAGGAATTAGCAGAAGTTGGCACCTACAAGAAGAGACAGGCACTACCAGCAGAAGGATAACAAGCCTTGGATTTTTGTTATGGAACACAACTTTATGGAAAACTTTGTAGCTTGCCAGTTCAGAGACTGGATGAAATAGAAATGAAGCATTACACTGAAGTTAAGCTTGGCGTGCCCTTAGGACTCCATCAGAAAGCACAGTCTAGAAATTCTGAATCTATTTGAAGAAAAATTGTAAAAGAGAAGTGAAAAGGGTTTTCTTTTCAACTACATCAATTTACTTTGATTTCTCTCATTAATATATCCTTTTAGCTTCCAGTAAAGATTGGGCCACACAACTAGGTCTCTAAAGACAAACTACCAGATTCCATAAATTTCACTTACTTCTTACAGGCATATTAGTGGAGTTAGGCTTCCTCCACTGTAATACTGCACAACAAACATCAAATCCTTCTGTTAACTGTTCCTCTGCCTCCAGCCCACCCGCAGCTGGAATGAAAGTCCTGTGCATGTGTCAGAAAGTGGAGTGTGTTCCCTCCTCCAGCTGAGGGTCTGATGATTATACCCACTACCCGCACGACCACTGTTTATTTGCATATTTTAAGAAATTATATTCACCATGTAACTTCATGACCAGCAAAAGCAGGAATGATTAGCATAATGATACATGTAAGAAACATACTCTGTGTACTTCGTTAGGCTTAAACTAACCACAACTGTAATCACATTTGCAATGTGCTTGTGCAACGATGTGAGAGCCACAAGAAGGCTGTATGCTCTCAGCTGTGGTGGCAGCAGTTTATGCACTCATAAAATCCTGTGGTCTTCCACTGTAAATTAAAGACCAGATCACAACTGTACCGGTGTATGATTTAAAAGGCAAAATTGTTATTGTTATCCTCACTGATTAAACAATAACATAGATGGTTTGTCATCAGTATTAAAGATCAAAGTACAGTTTCAAGAGCAAGAGTATTGCTTGATTTGGACTCCTGTCCAAATAAAGCAACACTGCACCTCTAAAATATGAGTTATTCATATCTTGTGTGACTTCTTCCATGACTACACGAATAGGAAGAATTACCAATTAGTCTAGAGGGGCTGAAAAAGCTTTAGAGAAGCAGCTGCAATATCGATGAGCGAGTTCTTAAGAAGTTAATAGACCTTCACTATTTGTAACAGTACCTGGAGAAGCTGCACACAGTCATTCCTTCAGACTCAGTTTGTGCATCCTACTAGTTACACAAAAAGCACAGTATGTAGCATATGATGTATCAGAAGATGACTCAGGTGGACCTAAGTAAGGAGACAATTAGCACACAAAGAAATACAAATGGAAAAACGGACACTAAGGAAAAGATGGATTCTAGGATCCAGAAGAGAAGCATGATTTATGTATACATTTGTGGTTTTGTAGCACAAAGAAGGTAAGATAACGCACAAAGACTTCTTTACAAAAAAGCATTTTTCTTTTTATGCCCCTCCACTGGTCACGGCTCTCATGACATAGGCTACATCCACCCATAGAAAAGACAAGGTCCAGAAAGTTTCCTGAAGTGACAGTTTTCTTCATACAGACTTGCTTCGCACTCTTCAGAAAAAAATACTCCAGAAATCTAATACTTCACCAGAAGGAGGAAGGTCTTAACATCCAGATTTGTAAAATATAGAAAAGAAATTAACACACCAGGGATCCAAGCAAGTCTCTATCATCAAATAACCAAGCCATAGGCCTCCATAAATCATTTAACAGTAGTATTTAATACTGTGTCCCAATACAGCTGAAAGATATTCAAAGCTAAATTATGAAATCATACTATAATTCAAAAAAAGCAGTAACTGCAAAGAGAATGCAATTACTCAGCTGCATTAGGATACCATTTGCATAGAAAACAAAACTGCATGTCTCCTGTATACAGCATGTATTTCCTTCCTTAAATTGAAGCAGAAGAGAGACAAGCCCCATCAAAACATCTCTTTCAGCTTTGAACAGTCCCAAAAACAATTATGAGGCAGCTGGAGAGGAAACCACAACAGCTCTCTCCATCAGCACATAAGGTGTAGCTTTGCACTTGACTACAGGAGGTTGAGGGAGATGGGACAGCGCAGGCACTGTTTATCTGCTCAGAGAGCACAGGGCACGCAACAGCACTAGGAACGACACCAGGGGTTGGGAAAACATGAAGGTTACACACGTCCGTTGCAAACAGCGCAGTAAAAGGCAGGAGGATGTTCGTGTCACAAGCGATAACACAAAATTCCATGCGCACCGTGCAGTAATAGAGCTGCTCTCGAAGGCTGAGGTGTTGAACACATAGCTCAGTGGACAGGAGCACACTCAGGAGCACACCCATATCTCCCGCACGTACACACAGCACTCTCCCTTTTCGCTGCAGGCACAGGGAAAGGAAAACCCACACCGGGTAAAAGCGGGGGTCCTCACAGCCGGCCCTCGCCCCCAGCCCGGAGGGGGAGATGCTGGCACAGCGGAGCCCACGGGACAGCCCACCCGAACCAGCCTGGACACAGGAGCCGGGGCGAGTGGCAAAGCAAGAGAAGAGGGAAAGAGAGGGACAACTCCACGGCTGCCTGGCCGGGGAGGTTACAGCAAGGGGGTCCGGCGGCAGCGCGCCCTCCGGGGCACGGCAGTGACAGGTCAGGGAGGCAGCCGGGAGGGCCGGGGCGGTGCGGGGGCGGTGTCGCCTACCGTGTACTCCCGCACTTGGCTGTGGAAGTTCTGCTCGCGGATCGTCACCTCGTCCGCTTCCATCCTTCATAGTCCCGCGGCCCCCGCGCGCAATGGCGGCCGCCGCCGCCGCGCCTGCTC